CTCCGGCATCCAGAATACAGGGTTTGCAGCTACTATAGCAAGGGCAATTCAGATCTCAAGGACCGCTACAGTATTGAGGAGACTAGTGAGGCGAGAGATACCACCCCCATCTGCGACAGTCCCTGTGTGGGTGCCAGATTGCCAGCTCTGATGTCCTGGCCTTGTGCAATTACACAAAACAGTACTTGCCCTCCATATATTTCCAAGCGCTACAACAACCTCCCCAGTTTCTTGCTTCATGCTGCTTTTAAACAGCTGCCATGCTTGCCCACCTACGGAGGGTTATGTGGTAACAGCAAGGGAACTGGTTCCTATACACAGCTGACAGATGCACTTCAGCACCCATTCACAAGTTATAAAACAGGCAAGCCAAACACCCCAGTGTTTCACCCCTTCCCCATAATGAACCTCCTCTGGGCCCTGAGAGGGCAGACAAAGCAGGGCCACACATTTTGGTAAGGTGCACCTTGGAGGTGCTTGGGGCACAGCAGGACTAGGAAGCAAAGGACAGCAGTGAGCCCGGGGACGGTGCCCCTCAGTGCATCCCTCCCATCTGGACCTCTGCGAAGCAGGGGCAAGAAGCCTTGCAGGGCAGTTAGAGGACTGTATAGAGAGGTAATTATGATGATGCTCACTTCAGTAAGCCCCAAGGTTTCTTGCAAGAGCTCTGCCATGCCAGCTGCCTGTCTGAGCGAGAGCCAGACCCTGGGCTCCCCTGCTAGAGCAGGGCAAAGGAACACTTGAGATCGCGTTGCTGGCAACTCCTAAGCATCTCTCTGCATACCTTGTTTCTCCTTCCTGGTGCGTACAAACTCAGAGTGCCTCAGGGCGCTGGGAGCCGTCCGCCTGTAGAAGCTGTTTCGTTGCAGCAAGGAGCCCCCGCCACCTGCCTCCGTTGCCTTCTGCTCCCAGACCGGGCTCCAGTCAGGACGGCCTGTGCGTAGCCTCACGCGCTCTGCTCCGCAGCTGCCCCGTGCCTGCATTGCCTGCCCCGGGGCTGCTCCTTCCGGCTCTCCACAGCCATTGTATCCCACATCCCGTGTTTCCGACTCTGCGTGACAGACATCTGACTCCAGGCTCATACTACCATCTCCCGAGGAGCAGACTGCAAATGCAGCAGCTTCACAACTTCCAGTCAGGTTGCTGCAGTCCACGATATGGCTCTTGAGCTGCCTGTGCTGCCCAAAGTCTTGGTCTACATCTCTGAGATCTATATACCACCTTCTCCCCCAGGACCCAGGGCCTCCCTCCTCTCTCTTCCACCTTTCCTCCACCCTATGTACTCCATGGACTCCATCCTCCCTGTACCGCCTTCCCTCCTCCCTGTACTCCCCAGAGGCTCTCTCGTCCCTATACCGCCTCTCCCCTTCCTTGTAATGTCTTTCATCCTCGCTATAGTCCCTAGGATCTCTGTCCTCGCTATACCGCCTTCTCCCCTTCCTATACTCCCTGGGTCCTCCATCCTCTCTATACTGCCTTCCCCCCTCCCTATACTTCCCAGGGCTCCTGTCTTCTCTACCCCACCTTCCCCCCTCCCTATATTCTCCAGGTACTCTGTCCTCTCTGTACCACCCTTCTCCTATGCCAGAACTGCAGTCCCTATACTGAATACCCTCCCTCTCACACACCTCATAGTTTTCACCCTCTGTATCCTGGCTTTCACCCTTCCAAGCACCCTCTACTCTCCTGCAGTCCATGTACTGGACACCCCCCTTCCAGAGACCTTCCCTGCCTCCATCCATGCTCCATTGGGCCACAGAGCTGCTCTCCCCTCCCCTGTCACTGGTCCAGTCTCTGCCTGCTCCTCTGCAATCTGTGTGCTGCCTCTTGGCTCTAGATCCGTCACTCCCGCGAGCCTCGCTGTGCAGCGCGCCCACCCCACCAATGTCCTCTTTCCTCACAGCACAACAGTCCTTGTATTCCCAGCTGAGCAGCTGCGACTCCTGCCTTGGATCTTCTACTCCATGTTTCACCCTGGGATAAGTGCACATGGTCCTTTTGGGGCACAGCACAGCTGCTGACCCCCTTTGTCACCTGGTCGCAGAGTCCCAGCCCAGCCTGACGCCACTTCTCCCCTCTGCTCCAGTGCTTGTCCCGAGGGAAATACAGGCACAACTTCCTGAAACTGGGGAGCGAGGGTATGATGCGCGTGCCCAGTCGCCGCGATCCCCAGCCTCCTCCACCTGCTGCCCAAAGTAATCAGTAACTAGCTCTGGGGAGGGAGGCTGTGGGCCGGGCAGGCTCTCACTGGCCAAACCGGCTCCGCAGCTTTGCCGCACAGCCTTTCTTTCTGCAGCTTTGCTGCTCAAAGGCAGGGAAAAGGAACGCACTGGAGCATGAGGAGGCCGTGCCCCAAGACCAACAACCCCAGGGAAGGTGAGGAGGCACCTGAGACCGGGGAAGCCACAGACCAGATATCAGATACCAGAACACCTTCCCCTGTCTTTGCACGCCTGCTGCCCATGCCAGCAGTGAGCATGAAGCCCAAACTTGTCAGACTAGCAGAGTTTAGGCTCTGCTCCACACTTTGCTGGGGAAAGCAAGGCCTTTGGGGGACTGATGTTACCACGGCACAGCTGTAATGCACTCTCCCTGTGCGACAGAGCGTTACTGAGTAGTGCTTGTGGTGTGAGGGCTGCCCCCTTCCCTGCTCCAGGGGGAATGACTGAGGCATCTCCTGACAGCGGGACTACTTGGGTTACTGAGCCCAGTCACCCACAATCGTGCACAGTTGCACAATAAAAGTTTCCAGGAGGCTTTAGAAACATGCACTCCAGAAACTCCTCTCATCACAAGCCACAAAGTATCCTCAGTTTTCCATGACAGACTCAGGTGCTCCACTGAGAGACAGCCACAAGGTGCCCCAGAGAGAAAGCAGGAGAGTCCATGGATACTACCTGTGTCTCAGGTTCTTTCCAGTATTTGTAAGGTGTGCACGACGACCAACGCTCCTAGCTGGCAGAAGACAAGAATAAAGCTACTCCAATCGCAGGAGGGCAAGGACCAATTCATGCCCCACTCTGGTGATGAGCTAAACTCAAAATGGGTGAGCAAGACAGGCCAAAGAAGCTACACACAGATTTTAAAAACATACAGTGATGAATGTGTACTATCTGCTCATCCTTTAGCTCCCCAAAGGGCACATAGAAGGGCTAGGCTCCCCCAGGAGTACTCCAGCCCTACTTTGGCTGCTGATCAAAGCTTAGTAAAAGCTTTTTTCCCTCCAGTATGCCTCCACATCCTACTAACTGCAGCAAGGCAGAGGGTCACATCTGCTGCTGGGTCCCCTAGGCGTGATGCAGTAAATACGTCTCCAGCTGAGCCGATGCCACACCACATGAGTGATCTGACCCACTGCACTAAAACTGGGGTAGCAGGCCTGAGACATGCCCTACAGCCGCACAGCCTGGGTGTTGCAGGAGGGGTCCACTCCCAGATCCAAAGGGACTTTCTTCTGAGACTCCTCTGGCAGGACAGAACTTGGGTAGGACTGATATTTGTCAAAGGCCAGGCAGGCTACTTCTAACTCCTCAGGTTCCCTGAAGTGATGAAAAATCCCCTAGGACTACTAAGGGGATAACAAGATGGGTAGGATGTCTCAGGACAGTGCATTAGAGCCCGGACAAAACGGCCAGTTTCTGTAACCAGCAGGGCATACGTTCAGCAGGATCTGCCCTCTGTCAGGATGCAGTGGGACAGTGGCAGATGGTTCCCAGCAAGAGCCATCCCATCCCGCTGGAAAATTTTCCTTGAGATCCAGCCTAGATTTTTCTCTTCCTAATTTCAAGTTATTTCCTCTAGCCTCAAATCTTCTAAGCATCTCTCTCACGCTCCACTGAAGTGGAGGCTGTTTGTTACCCTGTTTCCCTAGCGCACTGATATCATCACTCATCCCCATGCGCTCTGCATCAGACAAATCTAAATCCTGCAGCAAAGCGCCTGGGCTCTACAGTCCTGTTTAAGTAGTGGGAGGATGGAGGCAATGAAGTCAGAGTGAGTAATCCCAAGTCAGGAGTTGACATTTCACTCCACCTCCTGCATGCAGTGCCCACATTTCCTGCATATCGTGGGCTTTGATGACAGAACCGCACTGTAAGAGCTCCTTGGAGAAGCTGGGGAAGGGACTGTGGGAGCCTTATGCGGTCCCAGGTTTCCACTTTGCCTATTGTATTACCAGCTATAAAGCAGTTAAAAGCACCGATCTTTGTATCACACCTTTGGGTTTCAGAGCCCATATGTGCTGATATAAACAAAGCAAATCTCTCCTCCTTGAGTAATTCTTCTGGGCTGCGTGGACTAGCGTCACAGCTTTGGCTACAGACACGTTGCAGTTTTAACGTTGCCTTTGTTGCTATTATAGGCAGCACGGCGCCATTTTACCAACAGCAGTTGAAATTCTGAATTCCAAAGAACGAAAGGAGCCCAGAGACATTTTTTACTTTTTACCCACTAACGCGTCCCACTCCCAGGCTTGGTTAAGCACCCTTCTGTGCATCCTCTCTGATTTGACTGGCAAGTCCTAAAAGCTCTGTATCACCCCTGGAACAAGAACCACCAGCAAACCTAGCACCCTCCCAAGCTGGGAGCTTTCACTCCACAGGCATCAACTCAGATTTTTACTGCAGAAGAGAGTAAA